CATTTTTTCTTCTACCTTACTGTATTTTTTTATTTATTAAATTATATTATATCTTTTGTTTCAATCTTCAAATCGAATAATAATAATAAAGTATATTAATAGACATCAGTGTTATACTAATACCGCGTTATACTATTTAATTCTTCAAGATAGAGAAGATATAGATTAGATGATTCTTAATTTAGAAGCCCAGAACTTACGAGGTTGAAAATGACACCAAGCTACGACCTCGTTTTTCGGAGACGTTTTGAAAGAGCCAAATACTTCACACTTCTTATTACAACCAAGACCTTTTTATATCTATATATTATTGTTATTATATTTATTGAAATTATTATTAATAAATTAAAAGTTAGTTTATGTATTCAAAATTTTGGGTCAAAAATTTTGAATATGAAAAAATCATACCAGAATTTTTTATAGAAAATTTTATCCTCTATTAAAGAGATTTTTATCAATTTTGCTCTATCTCTCATTTTTTCTTCAAAATTTGAATTTAAAATTCAAAAATTAAATTATCAAACTTATCCTTAGTTTTTAAAAGTTTAAGACGCTGATTGGGGCTGAAATATTAGATACGGAAAAATCATACACTTTTGATAGAAAATTTTATTTCCTACAAATAAGGTCTTCAATTTTGCCCTATCTCTAATTCTTTCCTCGAAATTTGAGTTCAAAGTTCTAAAATGAAGTTATTACACTTCTCCATACTCAGAAAAAAAGGTTCACTTGAGGCAAGAAAATATTTTTCTTCCTAATTATTTTCTTGAGCGAAAAAAAAAATTTTTTTTGACAGGAAATTTCACTTATTCCAACAAAATTAATTCTCTTGCTTTAAGAAATACGTATCTTGATCCAAGAAAATTTATTTAAGTCAAGAAAATCTTGTTGTTTTGAGAAAATTCAGCCTCTTGCTCCAAAAAATTTAGTTGTTGATAGAAGTAAATTTTCTTGTCTTGAGAAAATTTCTCTCTTGCTCCAAAAAATTAAATATAAAGATAGAAGTAAATTTTCATTAATATTTTTATTGATTAACATGTCAAATGGGAAGATCAAATAATATTTAATTTTTTTTTATTCAATTTGTATAATTGCACGCTAAAATAATATAAAATGGGTATCAAATATTCATGAGAAAAATTTTCTCAAGGTGAAAAAATTTTTTTCTCAGCTGAAGTAGGTGGCGCTGCTTCCCTAAAGTATCTAAAAATCTTGATCAAATATATAAATTTATTGTATCAAGTATTTATGATAGAATTAAGAAAAAATGAATTCCACCAAGAATAGAATTTAAAGAAAAATTTTTACTTCGGCCAACACAACTTCGGTCTTCCTTCAGGCACCCAAAAATTTTCTTGAGCCAAGAATTTATTTCTCCTATCAATAAACTTTTTTTTCTGTGTACTGCCTTGGCATTGAAATTAAATAATAAAAATAAATAATTCTTTGCAAGAAAGGCCCTTTTCAATTTTGCCTTATCTCTCTTTTTTTCTTTAAAATTGGAACTTATAGTTAAAAATTGTTATAAAATTTGTCCCTAGTTTTCAAAAGTTTATAAAGCTGGATGTGGCTAAAATATTGAAGATACAAATAAATGAGACCTTTTTTAAAGAAAATTTAATTTCCTACAAAAAAAAGTCCTTATCAATTTTTCCCTTTCTCATCTTTTCCTCAAAATTTGAATTCAAAGTTCAAAAATGAAGTTACAGAACTTATTCTTAGTTTTCAAAAGTTTAAATTGCTAATTTTGGCTAAAATATTGGAAAAACAACAAAATTATAAAAGATCTTTTTATAGAAAATTGAATTCTCTACAAAAAAGGTTCTTATTAATTTTGCCCTATCTCTTTTTTTGTCTTCAAAATTTGAACCTAAAATTAAAGAATTTGTCCCTAGTATTCAAAAGCTTAAAAAGCCAGATGTGTCTAAAATATTGAAGATACAAAAAAATTACAAGAAACTTTTTTCAGAAAGGATTAAATTTTCTACAAAAAAGGTCTTTATTAATTTTACTATATTTTCAATCGTTAAGTAAGAATTTTGAACTTAAATCTCCAAAGCTTTGCACAACTCTCAGCTTCTAAATTTATGATTATTATAAAAAATACAATTCAGTAATTTTCTAAAAAATTCATTATCAAATAATGTATTATAAAAACACCTGTATCCTTCAAAAATACTCAAATATCGTTCACTGCCACCCGTAAAGACATTAATAAATTTATTTAAATACTGACATCACATATATTTCATTCATACAACTTACAACATTGTTTACAAATATTTGCATTAAATAAACAAATACTCATACTCAAGTATGTACTCAAATTGCTAATGAAAAGTATTTACTGCGTCACGATAAATATCTCGAATTCCACGGAGCGCTTATAAAAAAAATGGAATTAAAAACAAGATCGAGTACTTGAAAAAAAAATATTTTTCAAAAAGTTTAATTGAGTATAATGTAATGACTCATTAACAAATAACGACAGTAAATAAGTCTGTCGTAACAGATGTTTTATTGAAACAATTGCTTACAAAAACATGATAAGAATTTTCTATTTATTTGCTTAGTTTTTTGTATCGTTGATTTATTGTGTTTATAAATTGTTGTGTTTATTGAAAAAAAAATAATATTGACGATGATGATGACGTTTTAAGAGTAGCTGTAAATCGGTACCGATTAAATGAATTATTAATCTAATTTATTTATTATTTTTTAATACACGTCCTCGTTATGTTAACAAGTAAATCCAAATTTGGGCCGCGCAATTGGAATCGACAACCTACTGACACACTATCGATTTGTGTCGTCACGAAATCGTGTTTGAGGTGCAGCAGCTGTGTTACACAGGCACAATAATAATATTAAAATTATTTTAATAATATTGATACCAATGAAATTAGTTTTTTTTTTATTTGCAATATTTATATCATTTATTATAAATCACTATCAATTTTTGTTCCTGATTTTTCAAGTATTTATTTATCAATATTTAAATTATTCAATTTTTTTAATAACATTACATAAATTATGAAAAACACTTTTCACTTGAATAAATATTCTTTATTTCTAAAATTTAGTATAAATATTTTCTTATTTAAACACAATTTTATTTTTTCCGACTGAGAAAATAAATTTTATCGCTAAAAAATCTCTTTTGAAGTGTAAAGGGGCGTGTTTAAGCTCCGTTGCTAGGTTGATTGCTAGGGGCGTGGCTAAAGAGACATTACCAACCTTAGTTGCTAAGTTACGGACCTAAAGGGAGTAACTAAATAAGGTTGCTAAGGCTCCAAGAACAAAAAAAAACAAAAATTAGCGTTGTCTATCATTTTATAGCTAATTTTTAGATAATAAATATATATTTAATATAATTAATTAGTTTTTAATTCAATTTCACATAAGAAAATACTTATTTAATATTTAAATGATTAAAAAATTAATTTTGTTTACTGCGAAAATAATTTTTATCGCTTAAACTGCTCTAAAAACTTTGCGGAGCGTACTTAAGGCCCGTTGCTAGGATAGTTGCTAGGGGCGTGTCTAAAGAGGCGTGACTTCTGTCAGTTTCTGGCTTACTATTGGATGGGCGTGGCTTAATAAGGTTGCTAAGGCTCAAATAACACAAAATGATAAAAATTAACGTTGTTTTTTAATTATAAAGCTAGTTTTTCGATAATTAATATACATTTATGTAAAATCACATAGTTTTTATCAATTTTTACAAGTTTCATTCAATTTTATAATAAAAAAAAATTCTTATCAACAAATATCTACGAATATTCTTTGTTTTTTTGTTTTTAAACATTTTTTTTCTTCGTACTTTTTTATATAACTACCTTGATTTGTTTTTAATTCAATTTTACATAATAAAATATTTAATTAATGAAAAAATTGAATTTTTTGATGTGAAAATAATTTTGATCGCTTAAATTGCTTAAAAAATTTACGGGGCGTGTCTAAGGCCCGTTGCTAGGATAGTTGATAAGGGCGTGTCTAAAGAGGCGTGGCTTATGTCAGTTGCTAGGTTACTATTGGATAGGGCGTGGCTTAATAAGGTTGCTAAGGCCCAAAGAACACAAAATGATAAAAATTAGCGTTGTTTTTAATTTTAAAGCTAAATTTTAATAATTGAAACATTATTAGCTTAATTTTTGTTAATTAAAAATTTTTCTTTATTATTCTAACAATTTTATTTAATTTTTAAAGATTGAATTTAAAAATTTTTTTTCTGTTCTTGAATTTATTCTTTTTAGTATTAATAAAATTCTCCTGCGATGGCGCTAGTGTTGATTTCTTCACTGGAATTTTTTTTTATTTTTTCTGCAAAATTAAGAAATCTTATTTAACATTTAAATGATTAAAAATCATTTTTTGGTTGAAAAATTCCGAATTTTTAGATCAAAAATTGAAAATTAACTTCAAAGATTATTTTTTTCTTCTTGAAGAAGTATTTTCTAAAAAAGCTACATTTCTACATGCCGACCTCGAAGAATTGATGTCGAGGCCGTACCAACCTTTAGTAAATCAATTCAATCATTGTGTAAACAATTTTTTTACTCACTAAAAAATTAAAATGATAAAAAGCGTATAATATTTATAATAATAATAATAATAACAACCAGGTAAAATAAATAGGAAATTATTTAAAGGCATGAAGAAAAAATGATAATAAATCATAGCTGAGTGAGCACAGCAGCACATTCGTGTTGAAAGAATAACTTTCTAGTCTAATTCTCTCGTATCGCCGATTTAATTCATTCGATCGATGTAATCTTGGGCAATACTATTTTTATTTTTTCGTCGGTAAATATTTAGTTTTGTCAAAATCCTCTGTTATGGTTACAGTTACGGTTATTGTTATTGTTGCGTAATTAAACTTGTGTGTTGACTCACATTAGAATATAATAGGATAGATGATCAATATTTGCTTTTATGTAACAAAATAAATTAAATTAATAAAAACAGCTGTTTAATATAATATGTTTGTCTGTTTTCAGCGTTTGTCGTTTCCATCGCCCCAAGCTAACCATGGATCGGTTAACTTTACCTTTAGCTTATCAGACGGGCATGATGTTGAAGGTCCTCAGGGTGCTTTTGAATGTATTCAGCAAACAAATCCACAGTAAGTTTGTTTGTATTAAATCTAAGAAGATTTTATTTAATTAATTTTATGCAGTGGAAAAAAAATATTACACTGTTAAATTACAAAATTAGAAATTCGAAAAATAATTTCATCTTTTTCTTATTTTAAAAAAATTTTTAAGGTAAAGTATCCAGTACTTGAACACATAAAAATGGGACCAATAGTTGAACAGACTTTAAGAATTGTTGTAATACAAAATCCGGATATTTATTATGAGTAATATGCGCATGGTATAATTATTCAATGATACAGTAATTGATTTCTGTAAGTTTTTTCAATTATAAATCGAAACAATTATATTTTTGTTGACTGAAAAGTTGACATGAGAATAGCCGATAGATGCTATTTTTTTCATGAAAAAGATACTAAACCGTAAAACGAATAATCAGTATAAAAAACTGTACTCAGAAAAAAGTAAACTGTAATATTCACTCGGATTCCGGTTAATTTTTATAGTTTCAAACAGTAAAGCGGACATCGGGGTGCCAAAAATATAAATATTACAGAACTTAATGTAGAAAGTATAAAAGCCACAATTTATAATTTAATATCCAAAATAAGTGATTAGTAGCTCTTACTATAGTAAATAACGACTCTTTCATCTTAAAAAATTACAGTTTGAAACAGTAAAAATTGCCATTTCAATATATAGTCGATATTATGAGGAGAAGGGGAACTCAGATGAAAGAGAAGGGGGTCTCACACTGATAGAAGGATTTTTTTGTAGTTAAAAAGATTTGTTAATAATTAATAAATGATTTATTAGAGGATAGGTCCTTAACAAATATTTATTAACAGTTAATAAATCATCTATTAGCAGCTATTTTTTTGTGCTAACCAAATATTTATTAGTATTTAATAAACGATTTATTAACATATAAAAAATGATTTATTAATATTTAATAAATCATTTATTAGTATTTAATACACACTGGATTATGAATATTTAAAAAATTCCTCAAAAACGTGTTTCAATGTTTTATTTTAATTATAGAAATTACAGAGAATTAGATATTTAATGAAGTAAAAGAAAATTGTAATTAAAAGATACAAATAATAAAAAGAGAAATTACAATTAGAAGTTTACATATATATATATATATATATATATATATATACTTATTTTTTTTTTTTTTTTTTTTATTAGAGAAAAATAAAGGCGTTGGTGTAAACCAATATAGCCAAATATACTTATTTACAACTACGCGTTAACGTAGAGCCATCTACCAACACCGACCACCAACAAAATATTTGTTAACTATTAAAAAATCTTATTTGGTGGAAATAAATACTTTTTTCAATACACAAAAGCTTCTTAATAGTTACAAAAATTTTGTTCTCATAAAAAATTAATTTAGTTAATACTAACGAATATTGTTAATAGTAAAAAAAATATTTTTTCTACCCAAAAAAATATCTGAAAAAGATTTTAATAAATTGATTTATTAAATACAAACAAATCCTTCTATCAGTGCACTTATTCCAAAAATTAATTCTCTTGCTTTAAGAAATACGTATCTTGATCCAAGAAAATTTATTTAAGTCAAGAAAATCTTGTTGTTTTGAGAAAATTCAGCCTCTTGCTCCAAAAAATTAAGTTCTTGATAGAAGTAAATTTTCTTGTCTTGAGAAAATTTCTCTCTTGCTCCATAAAATTAAATATAAAGATAGAAGTAAATTTT